CCACCCAGCCTGGCTGCACCCTTCCTGTCCCTCTCCATTTTCTCACATGAAAAGCTGGCTGAGCCTGTTTGTGCTGTTGTGGCTGCCCTAGGGGCAGAATGAGTAAGTTGCATGTGGAGCTGTAAATCAGCAGCTACAGACTCATCTTTCCTTCCCTCAAGATCATATGTAATGATGCATCATAGGGAAAAGAGTAGGTACTAACATTTTTTTAGGAAGTCAGTCCCTTTTACTTGTTATTTGTGTTTCATTCTGGTAAAGAGTTAGAGATTGAAGGACGTTTCCTAAGAGAGATGTGTGTGTGTGTGTAAGGAGGTGGTTTAGGCATGCATGAGGTTGGGTGACTTTGAAAAGTTAGCAGATTAGAGCTGCTGATTCTTCTCTGTGTGTGATGGCTCAAGAGGAAACATGTCAGTACGTGTCCTGTGGAACCAACTTAGCCAAATGTCAACAGCATATTCTTTTTTTTTTTTTTTTTTTAACATATTCTTAATTAAAAAGGAGAATTCAGGAAAATTGATTCTTCACCTACAAATCTATTTCAACACAATCTGGAGGCTTTCCTTTCTATTTTACTTTTGATCTCTATCTCCTTCATTTGACTTTTATCTATAAATTTGAAAAGTGTCTCATAAAGTATTGCTCAAAACAGAAACAAATGAAGTGAAAGTTTAGCTCAGTACAGCGAATTGCGTACACATGCTCAAATCAGAGCTGTATCATAATTCCAGTTCATTACCTGCCAGCCGCTGTGAGTTATGGGGCAATCTCTTAAGTCCTGGTTTCTTCATCTTGTTGCTTTTACTGTTATCTACCTGGCAGAGTTATGTTGGAAATTGAAAGAAATAGGTGGAAGTTGGCACAAAATGGTGTTTAGTAAGCAGCATTATCTATGTCAGTGTATTCTTGGAAGCTATAGGGGTAGGTGGAAGGAGATGAGGAAGGTGAGAGCTGATACCCAGGACATGAACAACACAGTTGAGAAGAGAATAATTTACACGGAGTCTAAGGGAGTCTTAAATTGATGGTTGTGGCCTAAAGCAGTTAAGGAAGGCTTTGGAGTTGTGTGGCATTATTCAGGGTCTAATTTGGCTAGGGGATTAAGAAGATAAGCGTGCTTTATAGAGGAGTGTTGTAAGCAGAGGTAAGGAGGTTAGATACCTCTCATCATCCCTAGAAGACCGAGAAGAATTTGAATGGAATACCCTTTGACAGGCTTATTTCTCCAACCCTTAATTCCACCCC